TTAAAATCAGGTGAGAGTAAAAAGGTATCCAATAACTCTTTGTTATAGTTATCATTTCCTTCACTCACCTCAAAAATGTTTTTTTTTTTAGTACCTCCCGTTGTAGCTGAAAAGGTCTCTAAAATGTCTCCCTTTTTTTAATGGCAGAATACCAATTTCACGCTAAATGCACGAGAGCCTTCATTCCATGGGAGCACATATCTATTAATCTTTCTTTTTTCCCCCCATCTTTCATTTTAAACAGTAGGTTTGTTCTACATTTGATTTTCTTTCTAAAGCTTTACAGATTTATTCTTTAATTTTATAAGTGTTGATTATGCTTATAATTATACTTGATATTACATTCTCTATCTGGCTTAGAGATACTGCTAATGAAGCAACTTTGTAGTAAAAAAAATGTACACATGGAAAGCAAAATTGTTTTCTGAACTCATTTGCAAGTGATGGTGCTAAGAATGCATATTTTTGCATCTCCCAGTGATTTTTCAAGACCCTCAATAATCATGCATGTTTTGTATTTAAGACAGTAGCCTGGGAAGACTGGAGCGAAGATATACTACAGTAATGGTCTCTTTGTTACTTTCCCTTTTCTACCCTTTATTTCTGTTTTATACTAGAGAGCTCCATCAACATTTTTGCAACTCTGCTCAGCTGAGAACTGAATTGCAGAGCGACTGTGTAACAGGACAGCTGGCACTGTAGCCCTGAGTAAAGTGGAATGAGGCCCTCTCATTTTGCTCCCTTAAGAGTCAGCGTGCAGTACCCGCACATTAGTAGTCATTTTCCCTAAGATGAAAGGCAAACATAAATTTGTTCTGAGGTCCTAGTTATTGCAATAAAAAAAATCTAATTTGCAAGGTGGAGGGCAGAGCAGAATTATTCAGGCAAGACTGAGTGAAAATGAGCAGAAAAGGTGATCTCTTTATTCCAAATTTGGAGCTTCTAAACTCTTTTTCATCTACAGATATTGAGAATTCTTAAATATATTCACTTTGTCATGATTTCTATTTATTTTTAACACCTTGATTCAATTCTTTGCTCCCTACTGGATTAGGGAGAGAAACAACTTGAAGCACTCAGAAAGAAAAATGGCTCTAGGAAGACAACGAGGCAACTATCAGAACAGAAAATATCTGCTTCCTTCATTACCTGTGGCCTCTCCCAATTGAAAACATGTCTTTTCAATCTTATTATCTGAGACACAGAGGTAGGCCTACTATAGCCAGCAGAACAAATGTTTCCTACAGCCCATTTTTGTTAATAAAGTTTTATTGAAACACGCCTACCATCAGCATCCATTGGTTTATGTATCAGCAGTTGGCTGCGTTCATGCTCCATTGGCTGAGATGAATAGTTGTGACAGAGTCAGTTAAGACATGCAAAGCTGAAACAGTGACTATTCTTTTACAGAAGAAGTTTTTAAACTGTTAGATCATTGATTACTACACTTGAACATAATTCACATAAATGCCATTATATACACAAATTTGTTTTAAAGAACAAAGTACATGAGGTACTTTATAAAGTCAAGAAATTCTTTGAATTTTAAATGCAGAAATTCGGGAAGAATTTTATCTGTATAATTTATTGAACAAGACAGAATAATGTAAACATTCTGTAAACTGTGTAATACAAGAAACACAGACATCATTTTATGGTGAAGGCTCTTCCATTAGCAGCAGTTTTATAAGTGTGCATCATTAGGTGATGGTTGCACGTGTTATAACACAAATAAATGTAATTATTCCAAATTCAGCAGTAACCTGATAATGCTAGGATCCAAGACTAAGTTGTTTAAGATAGAACTCAATAACTAAGCTCAGAAGTAACTGTCATTTCATTTAAAAGTCATATAATTAACATAAATTTGATCAATCATCTATAATTTGTAAATCAAACTCATGTGTTAACATTGTACTCATAGTAAAACATCTGGGAGCAGAGGAAAGTCATAAAATGACAGAATACTTGAATGAGATCTTATAACAGTAAAAACAGTAAACAACCAAAACAAAACAAAGCAAACACAAAACAGGCAACTTTGGAAGGATCCATTTCTCTAGCTCTGCATCACTTACCCTTAAGCCTTCCAAACCCTAGACTGTACATTGAAACTCTCTCAACTATTGCCTTCTTCTCACCGTATGGTTGTAATGTAGTATTTTAGCTGAAGACCTGGATCATAAACTGAAAGGAACATGTTAGCTTATCCTCCCCTCAATACTCCAAAAATCACAAGACACATAGTTTTTAATTTTCTTCTTGAAGAGTCTGTTTTGACCAAACGTGACACTGTGTCAACTCCTTAACCTCCCTGTTTCAGTTTCTTCTTCAATAAAAATTTAAAAGGTAGTGTTAATTCAAGAAATTGATATAAGCATCAAGTGAGAGTATCCTGGCAAAGAGTTTATAACATCTTCCCTGCTGTTCAACAGTGATCATTGAAAGTATGATTAAATTCATTATATTGAAGAAATATAAATATTAAGAGGCTTATTTTTCTTTTTGGCTATTCATCAACATATTTGCTACCTGTATTCAATTTTATTGCCAGTCTAACAAATTACACAGATGGAGCGACTTAATGCCAATTTATTGTCTCACAGTCCTGCTGTACAGGAGTCCTACCATCAAGGTGTCAATAGGGTTTCTTCTTCCATTTCAGTCTGGAGGCTCTTTGAAGACGATTCATTTCTTTGGGGTTTCATAAAAAGGCCTCACATGCGAAGTGGCCTCTTAATGCAGAAGGAGTCAAGAAATCAAAAGAGGTGAACGAATCCAGCTTGTCATTATAGGGTGATTTGGTTGGGAAACTGACTGGATAGAAACATGGCCTTAGGCTACTACAAGACAGGTAGATCTCCACCCCATTACCCCTCAGATCCAAGGACTATACACTATAGGGAAGGAGTGTACATGCTTCAGGGGGAATAAGTGAAAATTTGATATAAGGGCAGGACTTACCGTAAGCATGTGCTCTCGTATAAGGAACAAAATATAATCTGGAAATTCCAGAAGCATTCCTAGAATCTATGTTAATCAGAAGTATTATGAGAAGATGGACTTGTCTTTTGGACAGGTCTCCACATGACTCTTTCTGCTCCAATAGTCTATCTTCATGTCTTGGCTCATAGCTTCTTCCTCCACCTTCAATGCCCATCATTCCAAACTGTGCTTCTGTTATCATATCTTCTCTCTGTCTGACTTTGATCCTTTAGCTTCCCTCTTACAATAGCTCTTGTGATTACATTTGACCCACCCAGATAATCCAGGATAATCCGTGCATCTCAAGATCCCAACTTAATGAAATTTGCGGAATTTCTGTTACCACGTGACATCCACAAATCCCTGGGATTAGCACGAGGACATGTTGTGGAGGGGGATTACTTTCTTAGCCACAACACTTTTCTGGTTTTCAGACATAGTAATGGTTATTCCTCATCCCCCAGGTACTTCCTCCTGCCTCCCTCTACTAGTCTCTGGGTTCTGCTACAGACAGCAGCTTCTCTTACCTCAACCTTAGTAGGTTAATAGCTTTATTTTTTACTTTTTCTCACTTTTTGGTTCTCTTGCACTCCACAGTGGGTGGATTGACCACTTTTATTAAGTTCTGTTTTGTTGTTATTGCTCTGGTTCTCATTATCATTGCCTTTTCCCTCTCACCCATCTCTATCTCCAGTTAACCAGTGAACCCTGCCTAATCTAGCCTCTTTCATATCGCTTAATGTTTTCTATGCCTTTCTCTCTACTCTTTCTGGCATCTGTCATCACCTTAGGTCCAGCTGTCCGTACTTGTTATTAAGTGACTGTAAAAACCCCATATAAGGTCAATTCCTGTTATTTTTTTTTAAGACAGGGTCTCCAACCTGCCCCCAGCCTGCCACCCCCACTCATCACAGGCTGAAGTAATCCTCACAATTCAGCTGGAACCACATGAGGGCTAAGCTTTCTATTTTATCAGGGATGGAGTTTTGCCGTGTTGGGCAGGCTGGTCTCCAACTTCCAGCGTCAAGTCATCCGCCAGACTTGTCCTCCTAAAATGCTGGAATTGCAAGCATGAGCCACCATGCCTGTCCTGATTTTTTTTTCTGTCTGCATTCTAGTCTTTACAGCATAGTTACAGTGATTATTCATAAACATAAATATGAACCTATCGCTCTAATTCTTATAATCTTTCAATGGTTCTCTCTGGTCTCAATACAGTGTTTGAGCTCTTTGGCTTGGGCCATAGGTTCTTCTGAATAAGTCCTGAGCCAGCTCTTGAGGATCAAGCTCTTGTCACTCCCCCTCACCCACAACCCACACATTCACTGTTCTATCCACACTGAACTTCATGCCATTCTTCCAGTCTGCCATGCCCTCTTCTTTCCAGGCTTTTGTACAGGATACTCACTTTATCTGAAATATCTTTCCTCTACCACCCTTTCATCTGGCTGCTCAGACTCAACTCAGCTCTTCCCCGGAAAAGCCTTTCCAGACTTTTCTTGTTTTGCTAGTTGACTCTCCTTTGTGCTCCACTAGATCTCAGTACATAAATGTATCTTAAGGTTATCTTTGCTTAGGAGACTTTTCCTTGCTAGTAATACAGAGCCTGACACAAGCTGACTTTAACAATGAGGCAGTGTGTTATTTCACACAGTGACAAAGTATGCCATTATCAAGGTTCTGGTTTCCTCTCTACAAAAGAATGTGTTTTTGCACGCTTTGTTGTGTTGGCTTTATTTCTATATGCCAAATAAGCCAAGCTAACTGCAAAAGATAATTGGAGCAAAATGTATACTTATTCAATTCTAATTGGTGAAAGAGAAAGCCTTTCCACAATTATTTTTATTGACCCAGCTGGAACAATGGCAGTTGCCCTAAGAAAGCTGTAATCTCACAATTAGATTCATTCCTAAATCGGGAGAGAATAGGGTTACTTACCTCAACTTAGACCAAGTTCTCAATGGTAACGATATTGTCATATCAAACCAGATAATTCTTTGTTTTGTGAATTGTAGGCTACATAGCAACATCCTTGACCTCTACTGACTAGATGGCATTCTCCAAGTTGTGACAACGAACAGTGTCTTCAGACATAGCCAAAGGTCTCCTGGAGGGCAAAACCAGTCCCATTTGGGAGCTGTGGGCTTAGAATAATGACATCATACTTCCAGAGCCCTGGCTTCATGAAGAAGTTGAGAATAAAGAGAAGTGGGGATCTATTTAGAAGAGAAAGGAAAGAATGGATGTCAGGTAAGCAATCTGCAGTATCCACCAACTGTATTATATTTACTTTCTCTTTGTCCTCCACTAGGAAGGACATTTCTGGAAGCTTTGTCTTGTTTCTTGTTTTTCTTATCTCTAGTAACTGGTATATACTGTGTTCTTAATACATTTTTATTAAATTGATATATGAAATATGCATTGGAAAAGGGAATTCATTAATGTTTTTTCACCCCTACCCAACAAGTGTTTAACATAGATTCTGTGAGAATCCAAGCTTGTGGTGGAAAAAATGCTTTCATATTTGTAGCTAAAGAGAAAGAAAACACATTTTTTTTTTCCGTCTGCAGTGAAGATGGTGGAGCAATGCAGTAGAAGTTGCAAGGTGGAGAAGAGGTAAGGTTGAACATGGGAGACTTGCTGTCTAAGTGAAGAAAGTGAAATTACCATGATAAATGCATAAACAAGAGAAAGCACCTGGTCGGTCAAGCCACTTGCTGTTTGCTCTGAATAGAAAGTGGTAGTTGAATTGTGCCTTGTAATACAATATGCCACTATTGAATATTTCCTCTGAACAATCCATTCTTAAATCATGTGTAAGTCAAAGCTTGCCTGTATTTAGCACATTGGAATACGTTACTAATTTATTCATTTAAATCTTGGACTTCATGTAAACATAACCAATAAATTATGAATCAGCTTTTCACTGGAGATTCACGTGGATTTTTTTCATCACCCACTTGGTTTCTCTAGTAATAAGGTAATTAGTTTCCCAAACTCTCAGGTTGTCGAATTTAATTAAAAGGTTAGTACATGACAAAGCAAACTATAATTTTATAATTATTTACTCTGATGCTACAAATATTAACTCTGCAGAAGTGTACAGAAAAATTTGAATGCATTGTAATTTCAAATAATTTTATGTACATTAATGAGATGTTAAGACTAAATTATATTTTAATTTATTCTAATATTTGAATTTCACAAAATTTCATAAAATGATGTAATTTCATTATTATTGACCAAGTTCCCCTCTTGAAACATGAAGGCATGATGACCTTCCTTCTAACTCTTTCGGATCATTATTTAGGTGCCAAGCAATTTGTCACAGCCTGAGTTTCCACTTTCAATTATTAACTGAAACCTAAATGTTACCATCAAAAACCACTGCTCTGTTGCGCAGTGATCCACACGAGAACAGTGAACTTATGTCTCTGTAAATTTGTTAGTCATCTATGAGGAAAAGCAATGCTGACCTCGTAATGTCAAATCCCATTTAGAGCTGGTGAATAGGTTGGATGAGGTACTTGATGTCTTTTGAGCTGTATTAAGAAATACACTTCAGTGTAGGAGGATGAAAGCCTTGGTAAATTAATGTGGAGATTGTGGCCTATCCAAATAATTGATAGTAGAATCCCATCCTCCAGAAGAAAAGAATGTAGTTAATAAAGGTTCTGACTCCAGTAAACAGTTTCAGGCAACACATGCTTTGCAGTAAGTACTGGAAGTTCCAACAGTGACCTTCCACCTTCACAGCCTCCTGCTTGTCTTTTTCCTGCAATTTTATTAGTAAGAAACTGTTCATCGCTTTTCCACGAGTAGAAATGTCAAGCTCATTGGAAGGGCATAACCTGGTTTTTAAGATTGTTTTATATGTCTGGATTGATGAATTGGATTACAAAGGTAATTTTTAGCTACTTCCAGTCTCTTTTGGGTATTTTTATAAAGCTACAATTATCAAATCAAAAGCAAATTACTTATGTAAAACTATTTTTTAGGCATTTTGACATTTTAATGCTGAAGAATCAAAGAATAAAATACGATTTTGCTTGAATTTCTTGATTAATTGTCAGTTTTTTTTTTCTTTGAGTTTAGGTGAGTATATGCCCACTCCTTCTCCCAGGGGAGAGAGGCCATTTCCCCACACTGGAATTACCAGTTTTCCAAAGCAGAAGTTTCAGGAGAGCAACATTACTTCATGGTGACCACAGTGAACATATTTATGCAATAGTTAATTTAAAGAAAGAAACAAGAGCATGTATAAATATTGGTTGATTGGGTTTCTGTATTGAAAATCTAAATTCAAAATTTCCATTGCCTTAAAGCGCTCATAATTTCTCCCTTGGGTAATGGCAGTAACCTATCTTCTATTACTTCCTCCAAGCTTCATTTAAATTTTCTGTAATTAACATTGTGATTTGCAAATCAACTTCTATTACCTCTTGCTCAAAATCTTTCTGAGATTTGTCAATGGCTTCAATAGCTTTGGTTAACATTCAGACTGTTTATGATGACAAACAGGGCCCTTTCTGACATGAGGTCTGCTCCCTGCTCGTTTCTTATCATCTGTCATCAGTGGGCAAACAAGCATTTTTCTTCTTCCCAATTTGCCTTGCTCATCCGTGCCCCTGCGTCTTTGTTCCCATTGTTCTGTCTGTCTAAATGAGATTCTCTGAACTATTGTGCTGTAATAAGGACTTCAAGTGTCCTTCCAAATTCCTACATGGGCCTCTCAGAGGTGCAAAACATTTACTAGGTACACCCATTTCTTGTAATGTATTGTGAGGATTGACTTTGTGTTTCTTCTAGAGCATTAAGACAATGAACTCCTCAGGGGTCTGGCCATGTGTGTCCAATGCTGGATAAGTGTTCCTTAAGTAAAGGAAACCACATACCATGAGATAATCATTGTGTGTTCTCCTTGTGTGTTTTATTTTCCATGATGTTTGCCTAATCAGCGAGACACCACACAATAGCATTTAGGAAGTTTAGAGTTCTTATAGCAGAAATGCTTATTTTAATGTTAATTCTTAGCTTCAACATAAATTCTTACAAATAATGATCTAACATAACTGTTATAGAAGATCTTTACACTATAAGTCCTTTATTGAATATAATGAGGTTAGGATATTTTGAGTTCCACACTTCTGTGTATTTAATATGTATTATCTATTACTTTTTATTGTCACACATCTTAGCATGTGTTAAGGATAATTATGATCTATAACATTTTGTTTGCATTTAGTTTTGTAGTATTTTTTCCCCATTCTTTAAGCTTGTAAGAATGGTGTGCTTCTCATTTTAACTGGTGCAATTAATGCTTTTTTTTTTTTTGGTGAAAGGCATTCATTTTGCCCTGTGACATAAACTTTTCTAGAGCCCCCAAGATTCTAGGGAGTCCAGCCAATGTCACACTGCTTCTTACAGCAGAAGCTGTGTTTGCTAAATAAGTAAATATCAAACAAATAAAAAAGAAACATTTGGAGGAAAGCCTGACAGAGCTTACACAAACACAGACTGGAAGAGACTAGAGGAGGGGATAAACCTCATCGTTCCTAGACCCTGAGATGACAGCACATAAGTAACCAGAGGTGGGATTGGAAGGCACACAGAAAGGACTGATGGGTGTGCATGTTCTTACGTTATTTATTGTTTTAAGACAGTCAGGCTTTTTCACCCCAGGCTGGAATGCGGTGGTGTGATCTTGGCTCACTGCAATCTGCGCCTTCTGGGCTCCAGGGGTTCTCCTGCCTCAGCCTCCTCAGCAGCTGGGATTACAAGCGCATGCCACCATGCCTGGCTAATTTTACTTTGTTTTTGGTGAAGACGGAGTTTCACTGTTTTGGCCAGGTTGGTCTGGAACTCCTGTCTGAAGTGATCCACCCACCTTGGCCTCTCAAAGTGCTGGGATTACACGCATGAGCCACTGCACCCAGCCTCAGGCATGATCTCTGAGGAACTTGGAGCTGGTGCTGGAAAGTGGCTAGCTTGGAAAAGTCCAGTTGTCGTGGTGAGGAAAAAGGTGGTAGCACTGGAGAGACAGAAAGCAATGTGAAGATATTAGTAAGTGTTGGAATGAAATACTAATAACAATCTACAACATAGAGGAAATTTGAAGACTTGTGCTCCATAAAAGAAGCCGGAAAGACCATAAAAGTTTAATAATGTTCATAATCCTATGTTTATAAATAGGATTAATGTCCAGAATAGGCAAATCTACGGAGAGATTTTTGCCTAGTAATGGGTAAGAGGAAAACCCAGGGAAAATGGGGAGTGATGGTTGATGGGTACAGAGTTTCTATTTTAGGTACAAAATTAGACTGTGTTGATAATTGCACAACTCTGGATATACTAAAAACCTAAATTATAATTTCAATGAGTAAATTTTATTCTAAGAAAATTATATTTCAGGAAATCCATTTTAAAAAGAGATTAGGAAATGTTACATTACTGCTCTTCTCAGTGGTCCCACCTTGTCCTCCCTGAGTTTTTCTCAGCTACCTTGAAAAGGAGGCAGGGATGAATACTGACAGGAACTCTCTGAGCATCTTTTCCTGGAAATGACTAAAAATAATAAAATGTAACAATAGGGAATCATAAACACATCCCTTAAAGGGTGAGATTGGTAACATCTGACTGCACCCCTTTTATACTTTATTATCTAAGGAGAGATTTCAGAAAGAGTTTAAGGGAGGTGTTTTGTATTTGATTTACTTGATTTCCTGGGATTTTAAGATTTGGGCACTATAAATTCAGTTATTACAGAACGATTTCATGTTGGCAATTTAATCACAAACACCATTGGAAAGTGTGGGCATACTTACTTTCATTACTTCAAAAAGTAAGCTCAATAGCTGTGATAACAAAGTGGACGTTGGAGCCCAGGCATTTATATCCTGTTTATCTGAAGCTCAGAGCCAATCTGGAACTCTAGTTCCTTTAGAAGATGATAAATGTTTTCTGCCAGTCTTTCCAAGTGAACAAACTCCGTTTGATTGGTATTAATCACTCCTGGCAGGTGATGTTCAAGCCTGCTAGCTGCAATCTAGGTGAAAAGCTTGTCATCAGTATCACATAATGAAGTGAAAGACGAGGGGACAAAGAGAAGAAATATTTCCATTTACCTAGTCATCAGAGCAACTGTCAAGTTAAATACGATATGAACGGTTTTCAAATGAACAGCATAAAATGCCCATCTTCAATAAAATTCAATTTTCTTTCATTTTTTATTTAAAAATCAGAAATTCACTGAAATAATAATCTATGAATTGTTTATAGTAGAAGGAGATCCTTCATTCTCTTAAATTATCTGTGACTTGAGAAATTTTTCTGAAATTATGTTTTGCCATAAGCAAGCCCATATTCATAAAGAACACGTGAGTGAAAAGGCAAGACTCAGGGCTAGGGTAATCAGGAGAATAGAGTCTGAGGATTAAGGAAGATTTAAACGTCTAAAAAGTACATCTTATCTCAAACAGTCTCATAATTTGACTTTTTTTCCCCACTTTTCAATGTCATATTTCCTGAAAGTCATCAGTTTAAAATTCCACATTGAAATTTCTCTAGGTCTCTTGGGTAGAACTCTTTTCTGCTCCCTTCTTAAAGTGATGAAAGTA